CTTCGCAACTATGTTCCTTTCTAGAAAGAAATGATATCTGCGAGGATTTTCCGTCCGGATTTAGACCGTACCATAGTACTGAGACTGCTCTCATTAGAGTCACAAATGATTTGCTCTTATCATCCGATCGTGGTTGTATCTCTTTATTAGTGTTACTCGATCTTAGTGCTGCATTTGACACCATTGACCACAACATTCTTTTAAATAGACTAGAAAACTATGTTGGCATTAGTGGAGTTGCACTAGCATGGTTTAAATCATACTTATCTGACCGTTATCAGTTTGTAGCAGTAAATGAAGAGATGTCTTATCAATCACAAGTTCAGTATGGCGTACCACAAGGCTCAGTACTAGGACCGTTGCTGTTCACTCTGTACATGCTACCATCAGAGAAAGATATCATTAGGAAACATGGAGTTAGCTTTCACTGTTATGCCGATGATACTCAGCTGTATATTTCTTCAAAACCCAACGAAACCTACAAATTCACAAAATTAACGGAATGCATAGCTGATATAAAAAATTGGATGACTAGTAATTTCCTACTACTAAATTCTGAAAAGACAGAGATTCTAATTATTGGACAAAAAACTTTTGCTCTTAACGCATTATAGTCCTTCACGTCTATTGCGATCTCAAAACTCCGGCCAGTTGATAATACCTAGAATATCTAAATCGACTGCAGGCGGTAGATCCTTTTCCTATTTAGCACCAAAACTTTGGAACAGTCTTCCTACCATTGTCCGGGAAGCAGACACACTCTGTCAGTTCAAAGCTAGACTAAAAACACATCTCTTTGACATAGCATACACATAATACATTATAGACTTCTATAATTCAATGTTAGGCTGCATAGATTAGGTCAGCCGGAACTGGGTACACTTCCCTTAAATCTTGATGTACTCGTTACTCGTTGTACTCTTGATGTACTCGTTAGCCTGCCGGATCCAGGCCGTATCCAGATCTGACGAAGGAGATTCGCCTGGACCTGATGACAATGCAGTGCTGAAGTGTCCACTATCCTCTCCCTATGGAGGATCCCTTTCCCACTCTACAGATAAAGCGTTGTGAATTTCGGTTCGCGTACCCCGAAGTGATAAAATAAAACAAAATTATTTTTGTTAAAATAGAATAGGCTAGTAAAAATGCTGCGTGGCTAGTAATTTTGGAAAATCATTAGCCACATTGGCTAGTGAGCAAAAAAGTTAATGTCAAGCCCTGATCGTATCCATAAAACCCAGATGATACTACACAATGCTACAGCTGATGCCACAGTGGAAGTGAAAAAAAATACCTAAACGATGCGTTTTTGCCCAGAACTCGTGATCCACTAACTTACTGGAAAGAGAGAGCAGTAATCTTTCCTCATTTGTACGTCCTTGCTAAAAAATATCTTTGCATGCCAGCAACAAGTGTCCCTTGTAAAAGGATTTTTTCAAAGGCTGGAGAAATTATCTGTAAAAAAAGAAGTAGGCGAAGGCCTTCGACAGCAGAGAAATTAATATTTTTGAATAAAAATCCATAAGATTGATTTATTTTATTAATATTATTTTTTCATGACCAAAATAACATTTTGCACTGTGAAGAGCCTACAGGTTACAAGTTTCACATATTAGAAAAATACAATAATAAAAATAAAAAAAAAACATTTTTCTAATGGTTCATTGTCAAGGTTGTTTCAGATCAACACCTGCAAGTGACCACTAGGTGTCACCGTGGAGACGGGTGTCGGATTGATTCGAAGCCTCACAATATGGCACATATGCTTTAACTGTTTCATTGCCTCACGAAGCCTCGATCTGCCCCTAGGGCTGGGCGATATATCGCACGATATTGTTATGCGCATCTAATCAGTAAAGCCGGTTCTTTGATTAGTAGTAAATCACCTTCACCTGCTTTCAGATGGAAGATATGACACAGATATGAGTGTTAAATTAACACTCAAGAGTGTTGAAGTTAATGAGATAATTAAGTGATTAATTTAGTGATGATTTAGCATTATTGATGAACACCTGGTGTTAACAAGCAGAATCACTGAAGGAGAAAATCTAAAATTGTAAGCCACCGTTATGGCGATCAGTGTTTGCTTTAGTTGGGCTCTTGACACTTATACTTTCACTTAAAATTTTGTTTGTCTGCTGTTATTGATTTATAACAGTCAAATGAACAAAGAAAAGTGTGATCTGATAGTGTTGGTTGTGTTTTGGCATAATCATGCTGTGATCTGAAAAATGAAACTTATTCAGATGATTTGGATTAACTTGTTAGCAACAGTTTAGTGGTTCTACAGCATATGATAATCCGTATTTTTCTTATAATCCAAAACATTTAATAAAAATTGTTCTGATCAAATTTCTTTATTTAGAAACACAGACATCAATAATCAGCCTGTGAATCTCAACCGTGGTGATAATAATAATCCTTGTTGCCACCAATCACAACTCATTAATGGCTCCCATCATGCATTGCGGTATGAATAAATTATGATCTGAATTGTCTATGTAATTTACTTTTCCTAATTGAATATTCTGCTCGTCACCATTGTTGAGATGCATTGAGTGAATCTTGAGGTCTGTGTGTGCCTAAAAGAAAGGTTTTTTTTTTAAAAACAACTTTTAAGAAATCAATTATATTATATCTAAAATTCTGGATATTAATGCAGAATCTCAGTTATGCTGTAACCAACAGAATCAATAACAAACATAAATTTAAAATGATGAATGTCATAATATTACCAACACCATTAAATCACTTCTTTTCTTTGTTCACCTGGCAGTTATAACTCAGATACAACAGCCAAACAAAGTCTAAAGTTAATAATATAAGGGTCAAGAGCCCAACTAAAGCAAACACTGATCGCCATAACGGTGGCTTACAATTTTAGATTTTCTCCTTCAGTGATTCTGCTTTAGGTGTCTTCAATAATGCTCAATCATCACTCAATTAATCACTTAATTATCTTATTAACTTCAACACTGAGAGTGGACTCATATACATTCGCTCCCAGGAGTGTTAATTTAACACTGGAGTTTTTGCTGTGTACAAAGAGCCGTAGTTAACTGACAAGCTGAGCCATATCGCGGATGTATCGTCAGCAATATTAATGCGATATGGCTCAGCTTGTCAGTTAACTACGGCTCTTTGTAGTAAATGCCGCTCCATCTGAAAGCAGGTGAAGGAGATTTTCTACTAATCAAGGAACCGGCTTTACTGACGAGATGCGCATAACAATATCGTGCGATATATTGCCCAGCCCTACCCACCACTAATCACTGATGTCATTCAGAGTTAAAATCTTTGACTATATGCTTGATGTCTAATTTTTGCATTGGTGATTGTAGCCCAAAGATTCAACAATTTGAGAACCAAAACCAATATGAACATTTTTGAAAATATTTTGAGCATAAAAGATCTTGTGTTTGGACACTCAGACATCAAGAATCAGCATATGAATCTCAACAATGGTGACAATAAACAAACTAGTGACAAACAGATCAACTCTGAACATCACAAAACCAGCTACTAAAGTCCTAACAAAACAATAGCAAAATAAAAGCAAACAGAAAAAAACAATGAAAATTACAGGACAATTTAGCTGCATAATTTATTCATGCTGTAATGCACGATGTCAGCCATGGATGTGTTTTGATTGGTGGCTCCCATCATGCACTGCAACATGAAGCATGTGTGTGATTGTCACCATTGTTGAGATTCATATGTAGATTATTGATGTATGTGTGTGATTTTAAAACCTTCAGATTATTAAAGCACTGCTGGAATTGCTTACTGTAATGAAAAATTAATTATGCATTTGTATAATCAGTTTATAACGCTAGGTGAAATCAGTGAATCAGGACACTACAGGATTGTAGTTTCATCATCGACAAATGACCTGGGCTGCGTTTCCAATAAACATCGTAAGCCTAACTTGATCATAGAACAATTGCAACAAATGGTCTGTGTAATCAAAATAGGCTTACAGTGCTTTCATATATAGACGTGCAAATCAGATATAGACGTGCAAATGTGGCCATATTTTCAACATCATTTATAGTCTCCTTTATATATAATTTATACTGTTTCTGGACCAAATAAACACTCTCAGGATGCATTCAATTAAAACTCATGCTTATTTCAATGTAACTGCAAAGCAATTCACACAGTTTGTGTTTGTCAGACATATACAGAAGATCTTAGTGAGAATTAACAGAGGTTTAGATGTAGATATTTGTTTCATTTGAAGTCACCATTGTGGTGATCAGTGTTGCTTTAGTTGGGTTCTTGGTCCCCGCTTTTATTTTCTGCGTTAGCTTTTCTTTGGCTGCTGTAACTGTGTTTGTAAAACACAATTGTTGTGGCAGAAAAGCCAAGAAAAAGTAATATCATACTCAAAAAAATGTACATAATAATCACAAAATGAGTATCTAATGTTGTGTTTATATGTGGCATTTATAACCACCAACCTTGTGAAACTGCAATATTGGCGCAAATAGCTTTAAACTGATCACTTGCTTGAAGGTTTATAAAAAGCATGTGCACAGGATGTTTTGAGCAAATGTGTCATATAGTCACAAACAAACATCAAGATTTTGGATATGAATCACAACAACGGTGACAATCAAAACAAAAAAGCTTGGGAATCAAGGATGGGTTTTGTACTATGAAAGCTACCCATCATGCATTGCAGCATGAAGCTTTTTTTTTATTGCCACCATTGTTGTGAATCATATGCAAATTCTTGATGTCTGTGTGTGACTAGATGACTCACTTGTTCAAAACATTGTGTGCTCATCCCTTTTATATATCTCTAAACAATTGATTTTAATGCTATTGGTGCCAATATTGCACTTCCTCAAGTTGGCCAGCTGAAAATGCTAAAGCATCTGACAATATTAGATGCTTGTTTTTGTGATGATTTTCTCATCATCTCATGATTTTTGGACAAACACAAACTGTCTGTGAGTTGCTTTGCAATTACATTGAAATAAACATGCGTTTTAATTTAATGCATCCTGAGAGTGTTTATTTGGTCCAGAAACAGTATAAATTATACATAAATAAGACCATAAATGATGTTGAAAATATGTCCACAATGGCCACATTTGAACTAGTTTTTAACCTTGTATGAAGAGTGTCCATGAACGTCTAATTCGTACATTATTGGCACCTTCTATTTAGTGCACAAAGAGAAATGTCTTATTTTCAGAGTTACATATAACTGTATGTCTGAGCACAATCAACGTCTTGAAAAAGGAAATAAAGGTGTTCATCAAATACACAGAAATGATTAAAGATGGAGGCTTTGAATCTTGGTGAGGATCTCCATCATTTTTCTGTCATTAAAAGGAGAGAGTTCTGCCTCCAGTCTGGCCTGTCTGAGCTTTCCTTCATAATAACGCTTGTGCTCAATCATTTTAATCTGGTTCCTCTGATTCAGCTGTTCCAGCTCTCTGATCTTCTTTTCTTTCTCCTGCTCAGATGCTGTTAGTGTCTCTATTTTATGTTTTAGTTTGGTCTTTTCTTCAGTAAATCTGGACTCCAGTTCTCTTTCTTTCTCTTTTAGTTTCTTCTCGTACAGCTTCTTCAGTTCTTCTTCTTTAGTTTTCAGCAAGAGCTCCACACCCTGGTAAGAGTCACTGGTGTAAAATCCTCCTCCATTATCAGAAATCATGTCGTCTAGTTTCTCCAGCAGCTCCAGAACCTGATTACGGTCCTCCATGTCTTTATTGTTGAACAGGTGATATCTTCCTCCACAGCGAATCAGGGCTTCTTTCAGGTTTTCACTGGCTCCATCGACGTAATCTCTAATACTGCTGTCTGTCAGTTCATCACCGTGTGTGAAGAGGATGAGTGTATGTTTATCTGCTTCTTCTCCAAATATGGCTCTGATCTTCTCCACTGAAAGTCTCTCTTCTTCAGTGAATGGACCGAGTTTAATGACCAGGATGATGGCATGAGGTCCAGGTGCCGTCATGTTTAAACACTTACTGATCTCCAGTTTCAGATACTCCTCTGAAGCAGCTGTGTCAAAAAGACCAGGTGTATCTACCAAAGTAATTTTTCTTCCAGCCACTTCTTCAGTCTCTTTCCAGCACTCTTTGGTCACAGATGAACCACTTCTGGCGGCTCTGAAAACTCTCCTGCCCAGGACTGTGTTTGCAGAAGAGCTTTTCCCTGCTCCAGTCATTCCCACCAACACCAGTCTCATAGACACTTAAAAAATAGAAAAAACAAAACAAAACAAAAACAGAATAAGTTCATGTGAATGCTAAAACAGATTAATAGACCCAAACAAATGTGTATATCGTGAACATGTGTTACTCACTATTTGGAGAGTCAAAATCAAAGCTTCCTCTTCGAACTACAAAAGTAGAAAAAAAATAATTTCATTCTTTTTTTGTGCACATTTAAAGCTTTTCGATATAAGACATAGACTAGTTTACATTATTTGGAATAGAATGTTAAAGATTCCCACAATATACGATATGCTTACAATAGTCTTTTCATATTTAAAAACATTAGGCTAATTGTTAATAGTCTTTTAATATTACTTAAACAATTTTAAAGTAGTGAAAAGCCCAGATTTAAGGCAGCTCGACTTTGTAATTTGTTTCATAGATATTCACAGCACGCAGGCTACCTGTTTCCATTTCACTCAAACTTCATTTCAAATGTTTGCAATTGCTCTAACATGTATCAAAATTAAATAACTTGCAATATGAAATGGGGTAAATGATAATAGAAAGCTCAATTTAAGTTGGGCTATTTTCAGATTTGGGGTTAAACAGCATTAGCTACACGTTGAAAACGAAAGTAAACATTTCTGAAGAAAAAAAAACACACACATGACTGTGTTAAGTTACAAAATTAGACTATTTCGATCAAAGTTGGTCTCAAATTCTTCTTAAAAGCAGAAAATTACCTGCTGTCTGTGTTTTGGCGCTTGATGAGGCCATGATATTTACAGTAGATCCGCTGACAGCTCGCACTTTATAATGGCGAATCTCTCCTCGAGCGCTGCGATCACCAGAAGCAAGAAACAAGCGAAGTGATGTCCGGTTCGTGAACGAATCGTTCTTTTGAACCGGTTCTTTTTAGTGAACCAGTCGAACCATTTCACCAAATCGAACTGAATCGTTCAAAACATTTCGCGTCTTGAGTAAGGCACATTTTTCTAAAGTTACTCGCTTTCGGACGTGCCTGACAGTCACTCAAACTCAGACGAAAACAATCAGTTATATTTTAAAAAACTGTGTATCATTCGTTCAGTCGTTTTAAAAAAAAAATAATAATATTGAAAGTAGAAAAAATAGAAAGCAGTTTTCACACAAAAATCGAAAAACAAGAATTCAGCTTGATTTTTCGTTCTCAGGTTAGAAAAATGAATAAACAGCTTGAATATTGGATTTCGACACGTGGGCGGGAATGTAACACCCCTTTCCTCTGATTTGTCAGCCGAAGATCAAACTGTGTCGTCGTCAGTTCTTCACAGCAGAATGGCTCGACACAACCCGTACCGGTCCGGTGAAGAGTCTGTGAAGTTGCAATATTGCCAAATCTCTCATGCAGCAGAAACACAGGGTTTAAGATATGAATTAATTGGTAGGCTACAACACAATTATTAGAGTCAAAAGACATCAGTGAACCAGTCTTTTTAATGATGATGATTATAAAACCATCACCAGAAACCATCATCACCTGATCTCATTTCACTTTAGCTTTCTTTGCTGCTGCATATGTGTTTAACACACACACACTGGCACAGCAGCCAAAAAAAGACAAAGAACATAATAGGAGTTAATAGACCAACTAATGGAAACGCTGATCACTGTTATGGTAACTTCAAATTAAACAGAGTTAAGCCTCTGTTAATTCTCAATAAAACTTCTGCAGCGTCTGACAGAAATAAAGTCAATCTGGTTAGTAATAAGTGAAGCTGGTAATGCTGTTTGTGGAGTTGTTTATTCCTCCTCTGCTGAGATCTTGAGGGATTTAATGTCTTCTCTTCAGTGCATTTCACCGACTGTGTCTGAAGTCAGTTGTAGTTATTGTGTTTCTGCTCGTCTCTTTTTCTGTTCTCTTCTTTCCTTTATTGATTCTGCTTGTTAACAGGCTTATTAAGGCTGAACTTACTCCATATTTAATGTACACAGATTTTGTGGCTCAGATAAGGTCCAGCTCTGGTTTATTTCTTTGCTCTTGGCTGACATGTGGCATTGCGGTGGCCTGCTTGTGGCCCAGATCTGGCAAACAGGAGTGGGCCACCCAAGGGCCGTCATTCCACGCTGCATGTGGACCAGATCCGCATGCCACAAGTGCCAGATTTGGGCCGGCTCTGGGCCGACACAATGTTGCTATGTGGGCGCCCGCGCTCCCTCTTATGACATCATCACCCAGTTACGTAAAAAAACATGCTACCTTTGAAGAAACCCCAATAAATGTTATTTTAATGCGTTTTAACCCTCTGAGACCTAAGGGTATTTTTAAAATAAATTTTCCGTCTGGTGTTATTTACTAAAAAAGCTTGTAAAATATCAACCCTTTTGTGCACAGACAATTGACACACCTCTTTTTTTTCAGGACAAATTGAACTTTCAGCATATTTGTGTTGCATTGATGTCAGTTAATGTCAAGCCCTGATCGTATCCATAAAACCCAGATGATACTACACAATGCTACAGCTGATGCCACAGTGGAAGTGAAAAAAAATACCTAAACGATGCGTTTTTGCCCAGAACTCGTGATCCACTAACTTACTGGAAAGAGAGAGCAGTAATCTTTCCTCATTTGTACGTCCTTGCTAAAAAATATCTTTGCATGCCAGCAACAAGTGTCCCTTGTAAAAGGATTTTTTCAAAGGCTGGAGAAATTATCTGTAAAAAAAGAAGTAGGCGAAGGCCTTCGACAGCAGAGAAATTAATATTTTTGAATAAAAATCCATAAGATTGATTTATTTTATTAATATTATTTTTTCATGACCAAAATAACATTTTGCACTGTGAAGAGCCTACAGGTTACAAGTTTCACATATTAGAAAAATACAATAATAAAAATAAAAAAAAAACATTTTTCTAATGGTTCATTGTCAAGGTTGTTTCAGATCAACACCTGCAAGTGACCACTAGGTGTCACCGTGGAGACGGGTGTCGGATTGATTCGAAGCCTCACAATATGGCACATATGCTTTAACTGTTTCATTGCCTCACGAAGCCTCGATCTGCCCCTAGGGCTGGGCGATATATCGCACGATATTGTTATGCGCATCTAATCAGTAAAGCCGGTTCTTTGATTAGTAGTAAATCACCTTCACCTGCTTTCAGATGGAAGATATGACACAGATATGAGTGTTAAATTAACACTCAAGAGTGTTGAAGTTAATGAGATAATTAAGTGATTAATTTAGTGATGATTTAGCATTATTGATGAACACCTGGTGTTAACAAGCAGAATCACTGAAGGAGAAAATCTAAAATTGTAAGCCACCGTTATGGCGATCAGTGTTTGCTTTAGTTGGGCTCTTGACACTTATACTTTCACTTAAAATTTTGTTTGTCTGCTGTTATTGATTTATAACAGTCAAATGAACAAAGAAAAGTGTGATCTGATAGTGTTGGTTGTGTTTTGGCATAATCATGCTGTGATCTGAAAAATGAAACTTATTCAGATGATTTGGATTAACTTGTTAGCAACAGTTTAGTGGTTCTACAGCATATGATAATCCGTATTTTTCTTATAATCCAAAACATTTAATAAAAATTGTTCTGATCAAATTTCTTTATTTAGAAACACAGACATCAATAATCAGCCTGTGAATCTCAACCGTGGTGATAATAATAATCCTTGTTGCCACCAATCACAACTCATTAATGGCTCCCATCATGCATTGCGGTATGAATAAATTATGATCTGAATTGTCTATGTAATTTACTTTTCCTAATTGAATATTCTGCTCGTCACCATTGTTGAGATGCATTGAGTGAATCTTGAGGTCTGTGTGTGCCTAAAAGAAAGGTTTTTTTTTTAAAAACAACTTTTAAGAAATCAATTATATTATATCTAAAATTCTGGATATTAATGCAGAATCTCAGTTATGCTGTAACCAACAGAATCAATAACAAACATAAATTTAAAATGATGAATGTCATAATATTACCAACACCATTAAATCACTTCTTTTCTTTGTTCACCTGGCAGTTATAACTCAGATACAACAGCCAAACAAAGTCTAAAGTTAATAATATAAGGGTCAAGAGCCCAACTAAAGCAAACACTGATCGCCATAACGGTGGCTTACAATTTTAGATTTTCTCCTTCAGTGATTCTGCTTTAGGTGTCTTCAATAATGCTCAATCATCACTCAATTAATCACTTAATTATCTTATTAACTTCAACACTGAGAGTGGACTCATATACATTCGCTCCCAGGAGTGTTAATTTAACACTGGAGTTTTTGCTGTGTACAAAGAGCCGTAGTTAACTGACAAGCTGAGCCATATCGCGGATGTATCGTCAGCAATATTAATGCGATATGGCTCAGCTTGTCAGTTAACTACGGCTCTTTGTAGTAAATGCCGCTCCATCTGAAAGCAGGTGAAGGAGATTTTCTACTAATCAAGGAACCGGCTTTACTGACGAGATGCGCATAACAATATCGTGCGATATATTGCCCAGCCCTACCCACCACTAATCACTGATGTCATTCAGAGTTAAAATCTTTGACTATATGCTTGATGTCTAATTTTTGCATTGGTGATTGTAGCCCAAAGATTCAACAATTTGAGAACCAAAACCAATATGAACATTTTTGAAAATATTTTGAGCATAAAAGATCTTGTGTTTGGACACTCAGACATCAAGAATCAGCATATGAATCTCAACAATGGTGACAATAAACAAACTAGTGACAAACAGATCAACTCTGAACATCACAAAACCAGCTACTAAAGTCCTAACAAAACAATAGCAAAATAAAAGCAAACAGAAAAAAACAATGAAAATTACAGGACAATTTAGCTGCATAATTTATTCATGCTGTAATGCACGATGTCAGCCATGGATGTGTTTTGATTGGTGGCTCCCATCATGCACTGCAACATGAAGCATGTGTGTGATTGTCACCATTGTTGAGATTCATATGTAGATTATTGATGTATGTGTGTGATTTTAAAACCTTCAGATTATTAAAGCACTGCTGGAATTGCTTACTGTAATGAAAAATTAATTATGCATTTGTATAATCAGTTTATAACGCTAGGTGAAATCAGTGAATCAGGACACTACAGGATTGTAGTTTCATCATCGACAAATGACCTGGGCTGCGTTTCCAATAAACATCGTAAGCCTAACTTGATCATAGAACAATTGCAACAAATGGTCTGTGTAATCAAAATAGGCTTACAGTGCTTTCATATATAGACGTGCAAATCAGATATAGACGTGCAAATGTGGCCATATTTTCAACATCATTTATAGTCTCCTTTATATATAATTTATACTGTTTCTGGACCAAATAAACACTCTCAGGATGCATTCAATTAAAACTCATGCTTATTTCAATGTAACTGCAAAGCAATTCACACAGTTTGTGTTTGTCAGACATATACAGAAGATCTTAGTGAGAATTAACAGAGGTTTAGATGTAGATATTTGTTTCATTTGAAGTCACCATTGTGGTGATCAGTGTTGCTTTAGTTGGGTTCTTGGTCCCCGCTTTTATTTTCTGCGTTAGCTTTTCTTTGGCTGCTGTAACTGTGTTTGTAAAACACAATTGTTGTGGCAGAAAAGCCAAGAAAAAGTAATATCATACTCAAAAAAATGTACATAATAATCACAAAATGAGTATCTAATGTTGTGTTTATATGTGGCATTTATAACCACCAACCTTGTGAAACTGCAATATTGGCGCAAATAGCTTTAAACTGATCACTTGCTTGAAGGTTTATAAAAAGCATGTGCACAGGATGTTTTGAGCAAATGTGTCATAT